ATTTTATTTTATTTTTTATTTTTGTAGAGACATGGTCTTGCTATGTTTTCTAGGCTGGTCTTGAACTCTTGACCTCAAGCAGCACTCCTGCCTCAGCCTCCTAAATCTTTCAGCAGTTTAAGAATGTTGTGTCATTTTGCTTCCATGGTTTCTAATGAGAAAGAAGCTGTCATTCATATTTTTCTGGCTTCTTTAGTGTTTTTTGGTTTTTTTTTTTTTAGACAAGGCCTCGCTCTGTCATCCAGGCTGGAGTATAGTGGCATGATCCTGGCTCACTGCAGCTTGGATGTCTCCGGCTCAAGCCATCCTTCCACCTCAGCTTCTTAAGTAGCTGGGACTACAGGCATGCACCACCATTCCTGACTAATTTTGTAGAGATGGGATCTTACTATGTTGCCCAAGCTGGTCTCTCACTCCTGGGCTTGAGTGATCCTCCTGCTTTGGTCTTCCAAAGTGCTGAGATTACAGACCTGTGCCACCACACCTGGCCTTATCTTTGAGTTTCAGCCATTTGATTATGATGTGTCTGGATGTAGATTTCTTTGGGTTTATCTCGTTTGATGTTTACCCAGCTATTTTAAATTGTGGCAATATATATGAGACATAAAATTTATCATTTTTGCTGTTTTAAAGTGGCATTAAGTACATTCTCATTGTGCAACCATTACCGTCATCAATGTTCAGAACTTTTTCATCTTCCCTGACTGAAATTCTGTACATATTAAACAATAACCAGTAACTCCCTATTCCTCTTTTTTTTTAGCCTACTTAGCTCCTTGAATTTGCAAGCTTATATGTTTTTACAAACTTGGAAAATTCTCAGCATTCTTTCATTTTTTTTTCTATTTTTTAAAAATTAAACAAACACATATAAAGCCAAGCATTATTTCTTTCTTTCTTTCTTTCTTTTTTTTTTTTTTTTGATGTGTATGCAATTGCTTTTATAAACACAGGTTAGGTAGGTTGGAATAAGGAAGTCCTAGTTCATCATGCTGGAGGTTGTCCTCACTGCTGCAGGCTGTTGAAGTGAGCCTCCTTCAAGATCTGGTTGATGTGGGAATAAAGACCTTGGCATAGTACATACCCCTCATGCAAGAACTGGGGAATGTTTGTATTGGGTTTAGTAACAATCTGGTTTAAGTTGCCTTCTGGTTCATTTGCTCTCTCTGGGATATTAGTATAGCTGCTGCTCCTTTTCTTATCACGGCATGAAAACTCTGTATCTCAAGAATTCTGAAAGACAGGGCTTCTCTTACTCCTTTTGGGCTGAGGGGAATGATGTTTGCCCTATTTATTGCCATTTCTTCTTTTCTGTACAGGGCAGCCTCCCATAGACTTGCCCTCAGAACCATAGCAACCGCCATTATTTCTTTAAGTACTTTTTTTTTTTTCTTTTTTTGAGACAGTCTTACTCTGTCGCCCAGGCTGGAGTGCAGTGGCTGATCTTGGCTCACTGTCACCTCTGCCTCCTGGGTTCAAGTGGTTCTCCTGTCTCAGACTCCTGAGTAGTTGGGACTACAGGCATGTGCTACCATGCCTGACTAAGTTTTGTATTTTTAGTAAGACAGAGTTTCACTTGTATACTTATACTATACTTAGATAAGTATACTTACATAGTTATACTATATTTATATATACTTATACTATACTTATATAAGGGTATATATACACATGCACACATATACTTATATATATATGTACATACATAAGTATATAAGTATAGTGTGTATAAGTATACATATATGTATGTATAAGTATATACTATATATAATTGTATAAATAAAGTCAGTTACTAAATATGTGGTTAAATAATTAAAATTGAGCTGGGCCCAGCGGTTCATACCTGTAATCCTAGAACTTTGGGAGGCTGAAGCGGGAGGATTGTTTGAGCCCAGGAGTTCAAGACTAGCCTAGGTGGTCTCGAATTAGCTTAGGCGGTCTTGATTTAGCCAGGTGTTGTGGTGCAAGCCTTTAATCCCAGCTACTTTGGAGGCTGAGGCAGGAGAATTGCTTGAACCCAGGCAGCAGAGGTTGCAGTGAGCTGAGATCACACCGCTACACTCCAGCCTGGGTGACAGAACGAAACTCTGTCTCAAAAAAAAAAAGTCTCTGTGTTCAGGGGCTCACTGAACACATGAAAGTATGGAGACACATGAAAATAAGTGCTAGTAAGTGGTGCTGTTAAGTGTGAAATAAATGCTGTTAAGAGTTCTAGCCATAGAATGTTGGGTACAGTAGTTCATGCCTGTAATCTCAGCACTTTGGGAGGCCATGGCAGGCAGATCACTTGAGGTCAGGGCTTCAAGACCAGCCTGAGCAACATGGTGAAACCATGTCTCTACTAAAAATATAAAAATTAGCTGGGCATGATGATGCATGCCTGTAGTCCCAGCCATTCAGAAGGGTAGGTGGTAGGATCGCTTGAACCTGGAAGGTGGAGGTTGTAGTGAGCTGAGGTTGCACCACTACACTCCAGCCTGGGCAACAGAGCGAGAGACTGTCTCAAAAACAACAAAAAAGTTCTGTCCATAGAAGGTATAGTGGGAACAGGAAATACAAAAATGAATAGATAGATTGCTAATTGAGATTATACAAATTACAGATGTGGCAGGAAATTGGATAGAGTTCTGTGAGGACTAGAATAATCAGGGAATGCTAGAGTGTATTGGGAGAATGGGAGATTTGGACAGAATTGTGGAATTTAAGGTGGCCTGTGGAGCAGTTATACAATTTAGTCATATCTCCTCAAGGAGAGGGAATCAAAACTTTGAAACATTAGGATGAGATTAAAAAAAAGTCAGAGAGAGTGGTTTAAACAGTAATTTAAGAGTCATTAAAAAGTGTTTGAGGCTGGGGCATGGTGGCTCACACCTGTAATCCCAGAACTTTGGGAGGCAAGGCAGGTGGATCAACTGAGGTCAGGAGTTCGAGACCAGCCTTACCAACATGGCAAAACCCTGTCTCTTCAAAAAATACAAAAATTAGTGGGTGTGGTGGTGGATGCCTATAGTTCCATCTACTCAGGAGGCTGAGGCAGAAGAATCGCTTAAACCAGGAAGCAGAGGTTGCAGTGAGCCAAGGCTGTGCCATTGCACTTCAGCCTGGGCAATAAGAGCAAAACTCCATCTCAAAAAAAAAAAGTGTTTGATCCCTTTCCCTGTCATCATGGTGTGTGTATGTGACTCTCTTTTCATGTCCTTCCACAATACTTTTTTTTTTTTTTTTTTGAGATGGAGTCTTGCTCTTTCACCAGGCTGGATTGAAGTGGCCCAATCTCGGCTCACTGCAACCTCTGCCTCCTGGGTTCAAGCGATTCTTCCGCCTCAGCCTCCCGAGTAGCTGGGACTACAGGCGCGTGCCGCCACACCGAGCTAATTTTTGTATTTTTAGTACAGACGAGGTTTCATCATGGCCAGGATGGTCTTGATTTCTTGACCTCGTGATCTGCCCACCTCGGCCTCCCAAGGTGCTGGGATTACAGGCATGAGCCACCATGCCCAGCCTCCACAAGAGTTTTATAATAAAGTGATTCCCCACCAAGAAGCAAAAGCAAAATCATCCCATTTCCCAGTGGATTCTGATGAAAACTGAGTAATAAAATCAGGTATAACTCTAAGAGCAGATATTGGAAAAGAACCAAGCCAGGTCTAGAAGGAATTGTATGTGAGATGGCACACATATTTAATATTGTATCAAGGTCACTATCATGTCACCATACAGTTGAACATGTTGTCTTGGAACAATGGTTTCATTTGGTTTCTACGCTCTGTGGTAGGCTAGTCCAGTACTGAATATATGAGACCTTTTGTTTGGGAAAAAAAGTTTTTGAGAAAGAAGGTCTGAAGTAGGCAAAATTGATTGGCTCAAGAAAGCTTTATGGTTAGTAAGTTTTTGTAATCAAGCCCTTTAATCTACTCTAACCTATTCAGATTTCAGATTGTCAAAATCATAGATTGTATAAAGCGTCAGACGGATATGAAATTAAAATTTTTATGTTACTACATTTTAAAAATTGAAAGTGACCCTTTCTTGCCTTCTTTTTTTTAAAAGTTAGTTTTTTTCTGTTAGTCATTTAAAACAACTTTTACTGGATCTAATGAACATACCATACAAATCCCCATACAGTTAGAGTGATTATATTCACAGTTGCACAGCCATACCAGTCTTATTTTGGAACATTTTTATCCTTCCTAAAAGGAAGCCTTGTCCCCATTAGCAGCCATCTTCATTCTTGTCTGCCTTCCTCTCTGCCCTCAAGCCCTATGCCAGTACAAATCTATTTTCTGTCTCAATAGATTTCCTTGTTCTAGACACTTCATGTAAATGGAATCACAATATTTAAATTTTTATGTTACTACATTTAAAAAATTGAGAGTGGCCCTCCCTTGCCTTCTTTTTTTTTAGAAAACTTAGTTTTTTTCTGTTAGTCATTTAAAACAACTTTTATTGGATCTAATGAACATACCATACAAATCCTCACGTTATATGTGTCAATATGACATGGTTATATTTACATTGCCCATGGTGAAACCCTGTCTCTGCAAAATATAGAAAAGTTAGCCGAGTATGATGGCATGTGCCTGTAGTCCCAGCTCCTCTGGAGGCTGAGGTGGGAGGATTGCTTGAGCCCAGGAGGCAGATATTGCAGTGAGCTGAGATTGTGCCACTGTACTCAAGCCTTGGTGACACAGCGAGACTCTGTCTCAAAAAAAAAAAAAAAAAATTATAGTCTGCAATTTTTATCTCAGTTCCAGTCCTGATAAATACAATATCTGCATTTATGTAGTAGATTCTATTTAAATGAAGTTGAAGGGTAAGTAAGTAAGGGTAATCCTACTTTTTTCTGAGGTACTGATTTCGATTCTATATTGGGTTTCCTATTTAGTATATAACCCAAGTTGAACCACAGAACAGTTATGTATTCAAAAATTATATGTACTTAACATAAGATTTACCAGGTGGTATAATTTAATTAACCATAAGAACTTCTTTGTTTTTAGTATATTCAACAGAATATAAGAGCCGATTGCTCCAATATTGACAAAATTCTTGAACCACCTGAAGGCCAAGATGAAGGTGTATGGAAGTATGAACATTTAAGGTAGGTCCTCATGCTATATTAAAATACTAATAGTGCCCCTCATAAAACTACCTTTCATTATTAATGATAATTATGAATCATAAAATTTACCATGTAACTGCTGACTAAGAATCCAAATTTTCAAGGTTTGGCATTTTCAGTGTTACAGTGTTCTCAACTTTGCTCACTGGTTGTTTCCTGATCAAATTATGCTGCAGAGTCACTCATTTTGAAAGGTGGTTCCAGAGTTGGTAACTTGGACCTGCCTCTGCATCTTTCCACCTTTTTTTTTTTTTTCTTTTTTTTACTTTGAGATGAGGTCTCATTCTGTTGCCCGTGTTGGAGTGCAGTGATGCAGTCACTTCACTGTGCCTCTACCTCCTGGGCTCAAACAATCTTTCCACTTCAGCTTCCAGAGTAGCTGGTACTATAGGTGTGTGGCCAGTATGCCCCACTAATTTTTAAACTTTTTGTAGAGACAGGATCTCATTATGTTGCCCAGGCTAGTCTCAAACTCCTGGCTTCAACTAGTCTTCCTATCTTGTCCTCCCCAAAGTGTTGAGCCACCCTTTCTACATTTATTGATTTGGGCCTTATTATCCCTGCCTTTTTTTTTTTTTTGAAACAGGGTCTTGATCTGTTGCCTAGACTGGAGTACAGTGGTGCAGTCTTGGCTCATTGCAATCTTGATGTGTTTGTTAAGGTCTGTCTGTCTTCAATGCTGAAACAATCCTCCCCGCCCAGCCTCCTGATTAGGTGGGACTACTAGTGCATGCCACTAAGTCTGGCTAATTTTTTGTATTTTTAGTAGAGACAGGGTTTCATCATGTTGCCCAGGCTAGTCTCAAACTATTGGGTTCAAGCAGTCCTCCCACCTTGGCCTCCCACAGTGCTGGGATTACAGGCATGAGCCACCATGCCAGCTTGGGGTTTATTATCTTATATAATGATTTTCCTTGGTTGTATCTCTTAACCACTAATACGGCATTTCCTTTTCCCCCCCTTTTTTTTTTTGGAGATGGAGTTTCACTCCTGTTGCCCAGACTGGAGTGCAGTCGCGTGATCATGGCTCACTGCAACCTCTGCCTCCTGGGTTTTAAGCGATTTTCCTGCCTCAGCCTCCCAAATAGCCAGGATTACAGGTGTGCACCACCATGCCCAGCTAGTTTTTTGTGTTTTTAGTAGAAATGGAGTTTCTTTATGTTGGTCAGGCTGGTCTTGAACTCCCACCCATAGGTGATTCGCCTGCCTCAGCCTCTCAAAGTGCTGGGATTACAGGTGTGAGCCACCTCCTGGCCCATTTTCCCATTTGTTTGTAACTTCTGTTGTCTTTTGTCTTTTTTTTTTTTATCTTTGTTTTTGTAGAGATGGAGCCTCACTGTGTTTCCCAAGCTGGTCCTAAAATCCTGGGCTCAAGTGATCCTCCCATCTTGGCCTGCCAAGGCGCTGGGATTATAGGCATGAGCCACTGTACCTGACCACTTTATGTTGTTGTAGAGGATTACCTGTAGTTCCTAATCTGTGTTTGGTATCTGAAAAGTTATCTGTAAATTATTGCAAACTTTTAGTCATCTCTTTGGTAAATAGAGATTAATTGTAATCCTGAAGTAAGGAGTTTTGGTGCTTTTTATAATACGCTTTGAATGAAAAAATTGGTAACTGGTGGCTAGGTGGAGATAACTTTAGAAGCAGATATATTCTGAAGTTACTAGGTGTTTCTTGAAGTTATAAAATTTCCAGTGCAAATGGGAGCTGGGATGAGTTGACAGATAATAAATACAGAGAATGCAGTATGTGTTCATTGGAGTTTATTATTTGTAAGTTGATTTTTAGATAAGTAGAGTAGAAATATGACTTTCCTCAATAAATTAGAACATATTTCCTGTGTTGTGTGCCTCAATTTGTAGACAAGGGAGGTACTTTTAAAAAATATTTACTTTTTCATGCTGCATACTTCTTTAGATATGGCTAAGACATAATGTCATGTCATGGCAATTTCAGGATGCTAATAGTTCTTTGTACCCTTTGCCAGTTTTTAGCCAATTTACTTGACTAATTTCTAACTTTTTTATATATCTAAATGCATAATAATTGAAATTATGAGTCTGTAGATATTTTTCCATTTTTACAATCCAAGTAGAGTCTTTTGCTTTATTTATCAGTCTTGAAAATAACTGCTTTCTTATATTTTGGCATTAATGATGAAAGTAAGCATGTTTTTTATTTTCTTTTTTGAAATGTGATTTTGCTCTGTCACTAGGCTGGAGTGCAGTGGCATGATCTCGGCTGACTGCAATCTCCACCTCCCGGGTTCAGATTCAAGGGATTCTTTTGCCTCAGCCTCCCAAGTAGCTGGGACTACAGGTGCATGCCAGTATGCCCAGCTAATTTTTGTATTTTTAGTGGAGACAGGGTTTTACCATGTTGGCCAGGATGGTCTCGATCTCCTGACCTTGCAATCTGCCCACCTTGGCTCCCAAAATGCTGGGATTACAGGTGAGAGCTACAGTACCTGGCTGTTTTTTTCATTACAAGCATAACTCCTAACAAATAAGGGCTGATTTTAGTGTACAGGGTTTTTTTCCTCAGGTCTAAGAAAACATTTCCCTCCCTATTTAACTTATTCTATGAAACATACATTATACAAAACATACTAAAACATTACATAAAACTTTATATAAAATATTGCTCACAAGTATTTTATTCTGGTGCTATTTTTACTTTTCTTATTTTTTTCTACTAGCCACTTTTTGGACTGGATTGTGTAGTAACTCGTGTATATATATATTTCATCTCTTTATTGTCTTGTGTACGTTTTTATTAGTTGATCAGGAAGAGCCCCCCGCCCCCAAACACACATCCTTTATTGATTTGAGGATGTATACTTGCCATCCTTTAAGGAAAATCGCTTCAACCCTAATTAATGCAGTTGATTATATAATGATGTTAATTTGACTTGAGTCATGACTTCAGTCAAATCTCCCACTACCTCATGTTGAATCTTTGTGATTAGGAAAAGGTACTCCTTATGTCAGGATACATCAGTGGTGACTGGAATGTAGGCTGGATTCCAGCTCTGGTTGGTCTCTTCAGCTGCACAACTGTGTACATGTTAGCCCTGTATTACATTAACTTGAAGCTGTAAGTTTTGCATTATTTACCACAGATTATACACACAGCACTGCTGAATCAAGTTAATTTTGCTTTTGGCTATAAAAGTGTTAGGTTAGGTAAGAAACTTTACACTTACCACCACCAGTCTTTATTACCACTTAGTGGAAAACAACTCAAAAACACATAACATGCAGCCTACTAGATATAGGGCAGTAGAGGGTGATATGGTGATTTAGAAATGATGTTATTTTTGTAACTAAGGACAGCATTATTAGGGATCTGGAAAGGAAATGCAGTTACAAACAACTGAAAATTTGACCCTTGCCTTTTTGTTTTCTTCTGTTATAGTGTCCAGTAAATAAGTAAAGATTTGCCTAACAGATTTGTTCATGTATGTCCTGGTTTGTTTCTTTTTTGGGTTTTTTTTTTTTTTTGTCTTCTAATTATATAGGTTTTAACTTTGCATTTTTTTGGGAACCAAAATGTTTCAGTTTTTCTGATGGCAAAACATAGTATTGATTTATCTAACTTGATACATTGAACTAGGTAGGATTTTTAGAGGGAACACGTTCAGTATTTTGGCAGCTGTAAAACAATATCTTTGTAACTTAGAAGATTGTATTTTTATCAAATAACTGTCTAAAACTGATGGCCTCAGTGTAATATATATATATATATTTTTGAGACGGAGTCTTACTTTGTTGCCCAGACTGGAGTGCAATGGTGTGATCTTGGCTCACTGCAACCTCCACCTCCCAGGTTCAAGCAGTTCTGCCCCTTCAGCCTCCTGAATAGCTGGGATTACAGGCACCTGCCATCATGCCCGGCTAATTTATATAATTTTGTAGAGACAGTGTTTCACCGTTTTGGCCAGGATGGTCTCCCAAACTCCTGATCTCAGGTGATCCACCCGCCTCGGCCTCCCAAAGTGCTGGGATTACAGGCATGAGCCACTATGCCCAGCTGTAATTTCTTTGAATGTTTCTATTTACCAACATTTTGCTACCCTCCAATTGCTGATTTTTTTCTCATATGTATATATAGCTCCTGTGAACATCTTATACATTTATCTGTAGGCAGATCTGATTATTTCATTATAATAGATTCTTAGAAGAATGACTTAGTCAAAAAGTATACACTTCCTAAAAGTCTTGGTAAATATTTCCAAATTACTTCCCTGAAAAATTGTACTAATTTCTATTATATATGAGAATGATCAGCTCACTGACCTTTGGTATTGAATGTTATGAGGGTTATTGGTTTTCTATTTTTAGAAAATATTTCTGTTTTCTGTAAGTCTCTGGAAGAAATGTGCTATTGTCAGTTCAGGTGTTTTTGGTAATGGTAATAAGGGAGGAGGGATGATACTGATGGGATTCTCTTTGCATCTAATAGTCTAAAAATTACGGTAGAGAATAGATATGACTTTTTGTTTATATATTTGCATTTTCAGGCAATTCTGCCTTGAGCTAAATGGACTTGCTGTCAAACTTCAGGTAATATTTTCTTGAAGTCAGAGTTATAATTGAAAGTTTTGATTTTTTTCTGTTTTTATATTGTAATGTGCTTACAAAAACTTGTCCAAATTTCTAATTTACCTTCTGCTAGAATTTTTAATGAAAATATAGTAACAGAAATGATAAGCTTTTTTGTTATTTTGCATATTAAGAAATATAATTATTTTTAACAGAGCGAATGCCATCCAGATACTTGCACTCAAATGACAGCAACTGAACAATGGATTTTTCTTTGTGCAGCTCATAAAACTCCAAAAGAGGTGAGGATTTATAGAGTAAAAAAATTATTATTGCCTATATCTCTCCAAGACAATAGACAAGTTTTTTTTTAGGGTTTTTAGTTCATTGTTCATTTTGCCATTTCATTTTAGTTCCTTGCTGTGGGGTTATTGTTACAGTGCTATTTTAGGATTTTTTATGATTAGCATAATTTTTCATAATTGGGTGATTACATGGGTTAGAATTCACTTCATGATCTACTGGCTATTACAGATTAACATCTGTCACATTGTACTTATATCTACTCTGTAATGGTTGAGATGCTCTCTACTAAAACTACAAAAAAATTTAGCTGTGCATGGTGGCACATGCCTGTAATCCCAGCTATTTGGGATGCTGAGGCAGGAGAATCACTTGAACCTGGGAGGCAGAGGTTGCAGTGAGCCAAGATTGCACCATTGCACTCCAGCCTGGGCAACAAGAGTGATATTCTGTCTCAAAAAAAAAAAAAAAAAAAAAAAAGTACAAAAAGATGATGTAAAATATCTCATTGAGGGACAACTGGATATCTACATACAAAAAAATGAAGTTGGATCCCTACCTCATATTGTGCTCAAAAATTAGCTCAAAATGGATCAAGTACTTAAATATAAGAGCTAATATTTTTAAATTCTTGGAGAAAAATGTAGTTGTAAATCTTTATGAGGCTAAATGTGGTAGCTCATGCCTGTAATCTCAGCACTTTGGGAGGCCAAGGTGGCGAGATAGCTTGAGCCCAGGAGTTTGAGACTAGCCTGGGCAACATGGTGAAAGCCCCATCTCCACCAAAAATACAAAAAAATTGCTGAGTGTGATGGTGTGCACATGTAGTCCCAGCTACTTGGGAGGCTGAGGTGGGAGAATTGCCTGAGCCCAAGGATTAAAGATTGCAGTAAACCAAGATCATACCACTATACTCCAGCCTAGGTGACAGAGAGAGACCTTGTCTCAAAAAAAGATTCAAAAATGGCCAGTAAGCACATGAAAAGATGCTCAACATTAGTCATTAAGTAAATACAGATCTCAAAACCACAAAGAGAGTTGGTGCGAGAGTTGTGCGTTATTGTTAAGCTGATTAACATTATGTTGTCTCCCCATAATCGTGCTTGATTAGAAAAAGAAAAACCACAGTGAGAATGGAGAAACAAAATGTAGCATAGATATACAAAATAGAGAATTATAAAGCTGTGAAAGGGAATGAAGTTCTGATACATGCCACAACATAGATTAACTTTTAAAATCCAGTATTTATTATGTGTCATGAAACAAGTCAGATGCAAAAGGACAGATACTGTAGCAATCCAATTATCTAGAGTGAATAAATTCATATTGACAGAAGAGGCTGCCAAGAGATGGGAGATGTGGATGTGGGGACTTAGTGATTAATGGTAATAGTTTCTTTTTTTTGTTTGTTTGAGACAGAGTCTTGCTCTGTTGCCCAGGGTGCAGTGGTGTTATCTTGGCTAACTGCAACCTCCGCCTCTCAGGTTCAAGTGATTCTCCTGTGTCAGCCTCCCAAGTACCTGGGATTACAGGCATATACCACCATGCCTGGCTAATTTTTAAAATTTTTAGTAGAGGCAGAGTTTTGCCATCTTGGCTAGGTTGGTCTCAAACTCCTGACCTCAAGTGCCTCCCAAAGTGCTGGGATTATAGACGTGAGCCACTGCACCCAGCTGAGTTTCTTTTTCTTTTTTTTTTGTTGAGACAGAGTCTTGCACTGTCACCCAGGTTAGAGGGCAGAGTGCAGTGGCATGATCTTGGCTTATAGCAGCTTCTGCCTTTTAGATTCAAGTGATTCTCCTACCTCAGCCTTCCAAGTAGCTGGGATTACAGGCACCCACCACCACACCTGGTTAATTTTTTGTATTTTTAATAGAGATGTTGGCCAGGCTGGTCTCAAACTCCTGACTTTGTGATCCACCCACCTTGGCCTCCCAAAGTGCTGGGATTACAGGTGTGAGCCACTGCGCCTGGCCCTTTTTTTTTTTTTTTTTGAGACAGAGTCTTGTTCTGTCGACAGGCGCCAGGCTGGAGTGCAATGGCGCGATCTCCACTTATTGCAACCTCCGCCTCCCAGGTTCAAGCAATTCTCCTGCCTCAGCCTCCCAAGCAGCTGGGACTACAGACGCGTGCCACCACGCCCAGCTAATTTTTCATATTTTAGTAGAGACAGGGTTTCGCTATGTTGGCAGGATGGTCTTGATCTCTTGACCTCGTGATCCGCCTGCCTCAGCCTCCCAAAGTGCTGGGATTACAGGCGTGAGCCACCACGCCCGGTTCTTTTTTTTTTTTAAGAGACAAAGTCTTGCTCTGCCATCCAGGCTGGAGTGCAGTGACATGATCTCGGCTCACTGCAGCCCTGACCTCTTGGGTTCAAACAGTTTTCTGCCTCAGGCTTCTGAGTAGCTGGAACAACAGGCTGCATCACCATGCCCGGCTAATTTGTGTTTTTTTTTTGTTTTTTTGTTTTTTTTTTTTTTTGAGATGGAGTTTCGCTGTTGTTACTCAGACTGGAGTGCAATGGCACGATCTCGGCTCACTGCAACCTCTGCCTTCTGGGTTCAAGCAGTTCTCCTGCCTCAGCCTCCCGAGTAGCTGGGACTACAGGTGCGCACCACCATGCCCAGCTAATCTTTGTATTTTTAGTAGAGACGGGGTTTCACCTCGTTGACCAGGATGGTCTCGATCTCTTGACCTCATGATCCGCCCGCCTCGGCCTCCCAAAGTGCTGGGATTATAGGCGTGAGCCACTGCAGCGGGCCTTAATTTGTGTATTTTTAGTAGAGAAGGGGTTTCACCATGTTGACCAGGTTGCTCCTCAAACTGCTGACCTCAAGTGATCTACCTGCCTCAGCCTCCTGGTGTGCTGGGGTTATAGGTGTGAGCTACTGTTCCTAGCCATAATAGTTTCTCTTTGGGAGTTGGAAACAGTGATGATGGTTCCACAATATTGTGAATTAATGCCACTAAATTATACATTTAAAAACAGCCAAAATGTAAAATTTTATGTTATATTCATTTTCTACGATTTTTTTAAATGTTAAGAAAAGCACCAAAACCCCAAATGGCATATACTTTCACACCCACTATAATGGCTAAAATAGAAAAGATAGACAATAACAAATGCTGACCAAGATGTAAAGAAGTGAAGCCCCTAAACATTGATGATGGGATTGTGAAATGCTTCAGCTATTTTGAAAAACTGTTTGGAAATTCCTTAAAATGCTAAGCATAGAGTTGCATATGACCCAGCAATTCCATTCCTTGGTATGCAGTCCCCCAAAATGAAAACATACACCTGCACAAAGACTTGTGCATGAATATTTACAGTCACATTATTTATGATAGCCCAAAAATGGAAGCAAGCAAATATCCATCAACTGATGAATGGATAAGCAAAATGTGTTACATCATATTTCAGTATCCTCAGGGTATTGGTCCCAAGACCCCCTTGAATACCAAAACAACAGATGCCAAGGTCTCTTATATAAAATGGCATAGTATTTGCATATGACCTATGCACATCTTCCTATGTACTTGAAATCATCTTTAGATTACATATAATACTGAATACAATGTAAATGCTATATAAATAGTTGTCATACTATATTTCTTCTATTATTTTTTATTGTGGGGTTTTAAAAATACTTTTGATCTGCAGTTGGTTGAATCTGCAGATGCAAAGTGCTGACTGTATATGTGTACAATGGAATATTATTCAGCCGTAAAAAGGAATGAACTCTTTTTTTTGGTAGAGATGGGGTTTTGCCATGTTGGTCAGGCTGCTTTCGAACTCCTGACCTCAGGTGATCCACCCATCTTGGCCTCCCAAAGTGCTGCAAATACAGGTGTGAGCCACCACACCCGGCCAAAGGAATGAACTCTTAAAGGGTGAAACATGGCTGGGTGCGGTGGCTCACACCTGTAATCCCAGCACTTCCTGGGAGGCCGAGACAGGCAGATCATGAGGTCAGGAGATCGAGAGCATCCTGGCCATGGTGAAACCTGTCACTAATAAAATACAAAAAATTAGCTGTAGTCGCCTGTAGTCCCAGCTACTCAGGAGGCTGAGGTAGGGGAATTGCATGAACCTGGGAGACAGAGGTTGCAGTGAGCCAAGATCGTGCCACTGCACTCCAGCCTGGTGACAGAGCAAGACTCCGTCTTAAAAAAAAAAAAAGGAGGGGGGAGAAATGTACAGTACAGCATTTTATATATATTAAAAACATTAAAGGCTAAAAAGTTTTGAATTTTAGAAAAAGGAAAAGTACTGATTCATGCTATACCATGAATGAGCCTTGAAAACTAATAGAAGCCAGATACAAAATGCCACTTATTATATTATTTCATTTTAATGAAATATTCAGAATAGGTAAATCCTGTGAGACAGAAACTAGTTGTTGCTTAGGGTTAGGGGAAGGAGAGAATGGGAAGTGACTACTAACTGGATCAAGGTTTTTTCAGGGGGATGATGAAATGTTCTGGAATTTATTGGTAATGGTTGCACAATTTTGTGAATATACTAGAAACTACTGAGTTTTTATTTATTTAGAGATGGAGTTTCTCTCTTGTTGCCCAGGCTGGAGTGCAATGGCACAATCTTGGCTCCCTGCAACCTCCACCTTCTGGGTTCAAGTGATTCTCCTGCCTCAGCCTCCAATTTTTAAGAGTAAATTTTAGTTGTATCAATTATATCTTAATTTGAAAGACAAAAATTAGCCCATTAATAATTTTATGTCAGTTACTTGCTGAAATGGTAATAGTTTGGATATAGTGGGGCAAAGAAACTACGTTATTAAAATTAATTTTACCTCTTTCATTCCCCCCTTTTTTTTTTAAGTCTGAGATGAAGTCTCACTCTGTCGCCCAGGCTAGAGTACAGTGGCACAATTTCATCTCACTGCAACCTCCGCCTCCTGAGTTCAAGCCGTTCTCCTGCCTCAGCCTCCTGAGTAGCTAGGATTACAGGCGTGTGCCACCTCTCTTGGCTAATTTTTTTTGGTATTTTTAGTAGAGATGGGGTTTCACTATGTTGGCCAGGCTAGTCTTGAACTCCTAACCTCATGATCTGCCCACCTCGGCCTCCCAAAGTGCTGGGATTACAGGCATGAGTCACTATGCCCGGCCTCATTTTACCTTTGTAATGTATCTCTTAGAAAGTTAATTAATTAATTTTTTGAGTTGGAATCTTACTCTGTTATCCAAGCTAGAATGCAGTGGCATTATTTTGCTTAATTGCACCCTTGACCTCCCATGCTCAAGTGATCCTCCTGCCTCAGCCTCTTTAGTAACTGGGACTGTAGTCATGTGCCACCTTGCTTGGCTAATTTTTCAATTTTTTTTGTAGGGATAGGGGCATTTCCCTGTGTTGCCCATGCTGGTCTTGAACTCCTGAGCTTAAGTGATCTTCCTGCTTTTGTCTCTCAAAGTGCTGGAATTACCATGTGAGCCACTACACTAGGCCTAGAAAATTTAAAATTAAATGTATGGCTTGCATCATAACAGTTGACTCTTGAACAACTCAAGGATTGGGGTGCCAACCCTCTGTGCAGTTGAAAATCTGAGTATAATTTTTCACTCCTTCAAGACTTAATTACTAATCACCTGCTGTTGACTGGAAGCCTTGCCCATAATAGTCAATTAACACACATTTTGTATGTTGTATGTATTATATACTGTATTAAAATAAAGTAAGCTAGAGAAAAGAAAATGTTATTCAGAAAATCATAAGGGGCTGGGCATGATGGCTTATGCCTATAATCCCAGCACTTTGGAGAGGCTGAAATGGGAGGATTGCTTGAGGCCAGGAGTTTGAGACCGGCCTGGTCAACATAGTGAGACCTTATTTCTTAAAAAAAAGAAAGAAAATCATAAGAAAGAGAAAATATATTTGCCGTTTATTAAGGGGATCATTATAAAGTTCTTCCTCGTTGTGTTCATGTGGTTGAGTAGGCTGAGGAGGAGGAAAAAGAAGTGGGGTTGGTCTTGCTCTCTCTGGGAAAATCTGAGCATAAATGGATTTACGCAGTTCAAACCTGTGTTGTTCAAGGGTCTGCTTGTTTTTCTGTTGACACTTTGGTTTAAAGGTTGTAAAATTGTCCAATGGTTTACCCAAATGACTAATATGAGAAACACAGTGACTTGGGATATTTGTTTTGACCAACCCATCTGTGGTCATATATATGGAGAAAGGTAGTTTTTTTCAGTAAATATTGCTCATGGTACTGTTTTTGGCGGTGATTCCACTAATAAAAAATTCCTATGCATATGTTGTTAGAAAAATACTTTTTCATTAATTTTTAGTGCCATGGCACTAAGCCATATTTAGTAGTTATTAAACTGTATTTTTTTTTTTTTTTTGAGATGGAGTCTCGCTCTGTTGCCAGACTGGAGTGCAGTGGTGCAATCTCAGCTCACTGCAACCTCTGCCTACCGAGTTCAAGTGATTCTTTTGCCTCAGCCTCTTGAGTAGCTGGGATTACAGGCACGCACCACCATGCCCAGCTGATTTTTGTATTTTTAGTAGAGACAGAGTTTCACCATTTTGGCCAGGATGGTCTCAATCTCTTGACCTTGTGATCTGCCTGCCTTGGCCTCCCAAAGTTCTGGAATTACAGGCATGAGCCACTGCACCCGGCTGGTTAATCTGTATTTCTCAGTAACAGCTTCAGTCTCAAACTTGAAAAATAATTACTGGGTAGAGTCATTTAGCTAGAGTCATTGTTATTCCTTCCTCTAGTTGTTTTTTCCTTCTGGTTGACTACTTGATTTGTTTCTAGACTGCCTTCCCCTTGATACTGCTCCCTGTCTGCCCTCAGGACTGGATGAGGAAAATTACTTTGCAGTTTTATTTTTCCTTTAATAAATTTACTGAGTTGACATGAGACAGTGTTTTATTGTTTCTTTTTCTCATTGTTTCTGATAAATGGAACACAATAAGTCAGATTTGTTAAAATATAAATAAACTTTGGTATTTCATGTTAAAATTCAAAGGTGATTTGGGAGAAAAGTTCTTTAGAGGGCTGCTAGGTTGGTAACAGAATGTGAGGGACATAATGAGGGATATTGTTTAGGACATAAGAAGGCATCCCTGGAGATACTTGTGAAGGAAAGGAAGCATCTGTGCTGCTTGGTAAAATAAATGATAGGAATCAGTATATTTGGGTTATTGAATATGAGTCCTTCTTCCTGTTTGTATGATCTTGCATAAGTCATTGACCATTCAAAACTTCAGTTTCCTCATTTGTAAAGGGAAAGGGTTGGATTAATCAGGGATTCAGCCAGGTGCAGTGGCTCATGCCTATTATTCTGGTACTCTGGGAGACCAAGGCAGGAGGATTGCTTGAGCCCAGGAGTTCAAGACCAGCTTGGCAACATATTGAGACCCTGTCTCTACAAAAAAATTTAAAATTCAGCCAGGCATGGTGGCAGATGCCTATAGTTCCACCTATTCGGGAGGCTGAGGTGGGAGGATCACTTGAGTTCGGGAGGTAGAGGCTGCAGTGAGCCATGATCATGCCACTGCACTTCAGCCTGGGTGACAGAGTGGGACCCTGTTTCAAAAAAAAAAAGATAAATAAGAATTCTGATCATCTGTAATTGTTATTTTCTTCTTAGGTAACGATGTTGGGAGTAAAACTGGGAGACTGGTTTTTGTATCATTGAGAATTGTGATATAGTTCATGGGGATAATAAACCTTATTAATGTAACATTGTATTTTACAGGGATTCTGAAATGGTAAGGAACTTTATTCTTAGAACATGCTTATGTCTTTGGAATAAGGTATACCCCTATAATGAATATATCTAACCTAAGAGAGAGCTCTTTGTTGATGCATTTCTCTATTCCTTCTTTTGTAGTGTCCTGCTATTGACTACACTAGACACACACTTGATGGTGCTGCATGTCTTCTGAATAGCAATAAATATTTTCCCAGCAGGTAATTGAAACTTTTAAAAGTAGTGTTAAACATTTTAGATTTAATTTATATGATTGGTATTTTATATTTATTTTTTTGAGATGAAGTTTCGCTCTTGTTCCTCAGGCTAGAGTGCAATGGCAGTCTCAGCTCACCACATTTTAGATTTAATTTATATGATTGGTATTTTATATTTCTTTTTTTGAGATGAAGTTTCGCTCTTGTTCCTCAGGCTAGAGTGCAATGGCAGTCTCAGCTCACCACAACCTCTGTCTCCTGGGTTAAAGTGATTCTGCTGCCTCAGCCTCCCAAGTAGCTGGGATTACAGGCATGCAGTACTACGCCTGGCTAATTTTGTATTTTTAGTAGAGATGAGGTTTCTCCATGTTGATCATTCTGGTCTCAAACTCCTGACCTCAGGTGATCTGCCCTCCTGGGCCTCCCAAAGTGCTGGGATTACAGGCATGAGCCACCGTGCCCATCAAGATTGGTATTTTAGAAGTAAAATTAGGTTGCTTGTTAATGCATTATTGTGTTTATCTTTTTAGCTCTTGTATTTTGGCTTGTTCAAATTATTCAAGTTTTGAAATTAGAACTGTGGTTAAACAGCAGCATGGCTCTCAAAGCTCAAGGCCATTTCGATCTAAGGCTAGTACCTGTTGCTATGTTGTCATTCTGCAGAGCTCTCCCTCTTACGCTTTAGAGTTGGGATATTTACATACTTGATCACTTGAATCTCTATGATAGTTAGACTTAGCCTCCCTTTATATAGCATGCCTAAAGAGCAGACTTTTCTAAGTTGAATTACTTGTTTTTGAAGGATTCCATATCCTTGCTCATTGACTTTAAAGATCTGGGACATCTGTACATGTAATATATTATCAGTTAAGTTTATGACTGCCTTTTATTTTATTAAGGTTGTTACCAGATGGATAGATTTAGAGATTCCCCCCCCCAAATTTGATTAGCTTCAAAGAGTTCATATGAAATATGTTAAGAAAAATACTGACTTTTGGCCTCAATATTCTGTATATACATATTTAAAAAAAGAATATCAGAAATATGCAGACAATATTAACAGTTTCTCTCTTTTTTTTAATATGGAGTCTTGCTCACCCAGGCTGAAGTGCAGTGATCAATCTCAGCTCACTGCAACCTCTGCCTTTTGGGTTCAGGTGATTCTCCTGCCTCAGCCTCATGAGTTGCTGGGATTAGAGGCGCCCACCACCACACCTGGCTCATTTTTGTATTTTTTAGTAGAGACGGGGTTCCACCATGTTGGCCAGGCTGGTCTCAAACTCCTGACATCAGGTGATCCACCTGCCTTGACCTCTCAGAGTGCTGGGATTACGGGCGTGAGCCACCACACCTGGCCTTAATTTCTAAAAAAAAAGGAAGAATAATCTACATCTGTAGAATAAAACAATTATTCCTTTCAGGAGTTTTAATCACCTCTAGTGGACAATGTATTAATGTTAGAAACAGATGTTTTAGTAAATAATAGTCAAGGATTTATTCTAACTGCATTAAACTGTTACAAAGTTTCAAAACTGAATTTAACTTAGCCACTGTGGTTAAGGTGGAAAGAACACTGGGCCGGAAGTGAGTTGCGTGGACTCCAGGCATTTACTCTCAGTGTGACCTTGGAGTAGTCACTTACTTTCCCTAGGTGTCAGTTTCCACACCTGTAAACTGAGAAAATTGTACTATATTGTTTCTAAGATTCTATTCAGTTCTAAGACTCTGTGGTTTCTTTTCTACTTCTAGGGTTAGCATAAAGGAATCATCTGTAGCGAAACTAGGATCAGTATGCCGTAGGATTTACAGAATATTTTCACATGCTTATTTTCATCATCGGCAGATATTTGATGAATATGAAGTAAGTATATTTCACTAATTATCTCAATACATTCTTACCAGAATGACAATAATATATATTGATGTTGTTTCTGGTCTTTTGGTTAGGATAGTAAATTAAAAGAACATTTTTTTCTTCCTTTCTACAGAATGAAACATTTTTGTGTCATCGGTTTACTAAATTTGTGATGAAATATAATTTGATGTCCAAGGATAACCTGATTGTACCAATTTTAGAAGAGGAAGTACAGAATTCAGTTTCTGGGGAAAGTGAAGCATGAAGGGAATCATATGGAAAAATGTACTGATCACATAATTAACGTTAATTATGTACTGTATATATCATTTTAGACACATCAATCATGTATCCATATTATAGCTTCTTTGTTTAGTATAGATTTTTGTATGCTGGGTTTGCCTTTTAAAATGGGAAATACTTTTTAAGTTATTCATAAGCTGTATATTCACCAGTGTGGCACTCATGGTTTTTAAATAAGATTAGTATTATCTGTTTATAATGCCTGTTAATAAAAGAATTTACAGTTTGGTAAAATTGCTGCTAAACAATCATTGGATCACAATCCTCATCAAACAAACCTATCTATAAAAAAAAATGAGAGCTTGAGGTTTCACACAAGCCATTTACTAAAGAGTTATAAATGTTTTCCTTTGGTTTTACTCTGAGTTTAGATATCCTAAAAAATTCTATAGTACATAGTTTTGTCTTACCTGTTAATTTTCCCCAAATGAGATAAAAGTGTTTTAAAATTGTTTATGGTTTTTGATATGCATATATAATTATGTGTATATCTAAATACAGATGCAAATGAAGCATTGGTAAGACTTAAATAATTTTACTGTGCTACATAAAGTATAACATACTTGGAAAGGATTTACCTTTCTGCAACAATGGACTGGTACATACGGGATTATGATAATGATAAGGCACGTAAATGATGTTCCCACTGGAAACCTGCCCTGTCCACCCCTTCTCATTTCCCTTAACCTTATCCTCAAACTACTTTAGCTGAGAAGCTTTTCACCAGACTGTGAGTTAGTGGTGGCTTATACCTATTTATATTTGTATTAATTGCTTACAGATTATACCTCATATTAGCAATTACATTACACTACAAGAAAATGTATTTGCATAGGCTCTTGCTTATCTTTGTTTTGCAAAATTGTTCTACTTAGAAAACAGTCCTTAAAATAGTTTAACTCTTCCTGTTAGTAATATTAATCTTTCGTTTTACCAGGTAGGCAGCATTAAATAGAATTGAAGAAATACTGTAGTATTTATTTTATACCCCCTCCCCACAAAGTTTATGTTTGAATTATATGCACGTGTGAGATTATTTGCAATAATTGATAGGTTCCAAGGGTGTTGATGAATAGTCATACATTTTTTGGACTTTGTTGTAATTCATTGTGGTAAGAATGATTCAAACGCAGATTTAACAATCTTATAATCTATTGAATGCCATTTTTAATAAAGCATTGGAGGTCTTACTGCCAAACTGATTATAATGAGGCACTAAGGGTGAAAAAAATTGTACATGTTGTGAAGAAAGTATTTAAATCCAACTTTTGAACAGATTTAACAAACATGAGGAACTTCTTTTTCATTTAAAAGGGTTATTTTGAAATGAAGATGAAAATATATTCATCTTAATGTATTCATTTTGTTTTTCAAACTTAAGGGAATGATTTATACCATATTTTGAGACAAGAATGTACAGCAAAAATGTGGGGAACAGTAGTGTACTGAGAGTGCGTGTATATATAGTGTGTGCATTTCTAAGCCTGCCAGTCTTTCTGGCTTTGAACAGTGCCCACCAGCCATAGTCGTTACTGTTCTCCAACCCACAACTATCTTTTAAGAAGTCTTATGTTCACAGTGGAAGGAATGTTGACTTTGAAATTATGGATTTATATTAATGTCACTATAAACCAATGGGAATGGTAATTTTTAAACAAACTTACTAAATATTGAGAGACTAAAACTACTAAGTTAATAAATTATATATAGCAGTATAGCTGTTCTCTCTAGATGCTGTCTCACAATGGATTTCTGTTGCTTATTTTCTTAGTGAATATTTAAACTAAGGTAGTGACTGAGATTTGGTGATCTGGCTAAGTATTTTGAAACACATTTTGAATAATATGGCTTAGTGTTGATGGGGAATTAAATATGATTTTTTTCTTATTCATTTCATCTTCCCTGTACTGTATATTTGGAATTGATCATAAAATCTCCAAAAGAAAATAATCAGTTTGTAGTCTTGCTTTTGTATTCATGTTGGTATCTTATTCATTGCACTGTAAGTTGCTTCACTGTACTAGGTAAGACCTAAATGAAACCGTTCCTGTTTTTCCTTAATACTGTTTTCAGAATTTTGAAAATGTACTTATTGTACATAAATACTATTAATGAGCCTGCCAAACCATTGATTTATAAAGTAAGTGTTCTGAGAGGGGAAATGGAAAATTCACAGTTCTGTGATAGGGAGGTTAGGCTCCTCTTTTTGTTTGAATTACCTTATATAGATCTAAAGGTAGAATTAGGCTTAAAAGATCATATAGTCAATTCATTCTTTTTCTCCTGTCATGTCTGAGAAAGTAGCTAACTTTTAGTTATTTATGTTCCCATAAGTAAGTTATTTTGTGTATATACATTTCCTTTTCTCTGACTTGAGAAGTCAAATTTGAATTTCTGGAACAGTTTCTCAGTTAAATTCTTGATGACTTAACAACTTTTACTATCAGAATACAATTAGAAATCTTTGATTTCTTAACATTGTTAGTAAGGACTGTGTTATGGTTATAAACACATTTACTGGTTGATGTCAAATTCACTGTAATTGTAGAACTAATTTTTTTACATGAGTACTTTGCCCTACTGCCTATATGATATCTTTTTTGAGCAGCTAACTTTTAAATTTTTTATACTTTATTTTGTGAATACTTCTTGAATGTGCTAAAGGTTTCTTTGTGTAGTTCTTCCATGCTATGCAAATATTTTAGTAAAAGTAGTTGATTTTTATTTCTTTAACTATCTCATTGTTAACTAAACAGATAATACATATGGGCCAGGCAGGGTGGCTCACGCCTGTAGTCCCAGCACTTGGGGAGGCTAAGGTGGGCAGATCACTTGAGGCAAGGAGTTCAAGACCAGTCTAGCCATGTGGTGAAACCCCATTTCTACTAAAAAAAACATAAAAGTTAGCCAAGTGTGGTGGCTCACACTTGTAATCCCAGCTACATGGGAGGCTAAGGCAGAAGAATAGCTTGAACCTGGGAGGTGGAGGTTGCAGTGAGCCCAGATTGTGCCACTGCACTCCAGGTTGGGCAACAGAGTAAGACTGTCTCAAAAACAAAAACAGCAATACATAGGTATTTGTGCAACATGCTTAGCAGTTTATTTGAGATGATCAGAACATTCAAATCTGTTTCCTGAAAAAATATACGTTATTAGTATAGAGTACACTATAAAACTGGAAAGCTATCTAACCCCTAGAGGGTTAGATACCTATCTAATAATAGGGTCATTGTGAAGCCTTACTCTTCATTTGTATGATTTTTCTGCTATTTCCTTTTTGTTTTTTAGAGTCTTGCTCTGTTACTCAGGCTGGAGTACAATGGCGTAATATTGGCTTATTGCAGCCTCTGCCTCCTGGGTTCAAGTGATTCTCCAGCCTCAGCCTCCTAATTAGCTGGTACTACAGGTGTGCATCACCACACCCAGCTAAGTTTTACATTTTTAGTAGAGATGGGATTTCATGATATTGGCCAGGCTGGTCTTGAACTCCTGACCTCAAGTGATCAGCCTGGCTCCACCTCCCAAAGTGCTGGGATTACAGACATGAGCCACAGCACCCGGCCTCCATTTTTTTCTTAATAGTACATTAAAACTTCATATCAAGGGTGAGCACCTAATGTAATTAAGCAAAGAGAATACTAAATTTTTGTATTAACCTTCATTTGCAAAAGATAAAAACATTGGCTAAGTGCAGTGGCAAAACCTGTAATCCCAGCACTTTGGGCGGCTGAGGCTGGTGGGTCACCGGAGGTCAGGAGTTTGAGACCAGCCTGGCCAACATGGTGAAACCCTGTCTCTATTAAAAATAACAAAAATTAGCTGGGACTGGTGGTGTGCACCTGTAATCCCAGCTACTCAGGAGGCTGAGATACAAGAATCACTTGAACCCAGGAGGCAGAGGTTGCAGTGAGGCAAGATTGTGCCACTGCACTCCAGCCCGGGCAAGAGCAACACTCCATCTCAAAAAACAAACAAGCAAACATTGACATCCTGAACTTAAATCCGTGAAGTATGTCAACTGAGTGATAATGATTCTAGGATTAACTGTGACATCAATATTTAAAACTAAACTTTTTTCTTAGGATCACGATATGTTGATCTGGATTTGTCCTATAAACCTTGTTAAAAGCAGTTTGTAATTCCATAAATAGCGTATATTTATTTTATTTTATTTTTTGAGATGGAACCTCATTTTGTTACCAGGCTGGAGTGCAGTGGTGTGATCTCAGCACACCTCAACCACCTCCTCCCAAGTTTAAGCAATTTGCCTGCTTCAGCCTTCCAAGTAGCTGGGAGTACAGGCCTGCACCACCACACCTGATTAAATTGTGTATTTTTGGTAGAGACAGAGTTTCACCACCATTTTGGTCAGGCTGATCTTGAACTCCTGACCTTGGGTGGTCCACCAGCCTTGGCCTTCCAACGTATTGGGATTACAGGTATGAGCCACCATGCCCGGCCAAATAGTGTATTTGTTGTTTTATTTTGGGTGGACCTCATGAGAGCCACCTATATCTTATATAACAATGAAAAATATTTACTTAAAAATTCTAGTTTATGTTACAGGTTATAGTATTTATCTCTGCCTTTTTTTGTGTCAGAGGAACATGCTCATGCAATATGTATGCTATATGTAAAATAATTCTCTGTATCTCTACAAGTATTTGCTGATTTTAACTATTTTTGGTTACTAGGCACAGTGGCTCACATCTGTAACCTCAGCATTTTGGGAGGCTGAGGCCAGAGGATTGCTTAAGGCCAGGCGTTTGAGCCAGCCTGTGCAATATAGTAAGACCCCAATTTTTGTCTATACAAAAAAAATTTAAAAATTAACTGAGTATGGTGGTGCACACCTGTAGTCCTAGCTACTAGGGAGGCTGAGGGAGGGGTTTGGCGGGGATTACTTGAGCTGAGTAGTTTAAGGTCACAGTGAGCTATGGGTGTGCCACTACACTCCAACCTGCATGACAAAGTAAGACCTTGCCTCAAAAAATAAATATTTTTGGTTTTCCTTAGCATGAATATCTACAAGAAAATGCTAGGTTTCTTTAAAAAATAAAAAAGCCTTATTCCTTGTTTTAAAAGTAAGAGATTAAATCAAGAATAGTAGGATTCCATCCTTGTATTTTCCCCTACCTCTGTCAGATTGAGGGGAGTTGATAAGGAACAAGGGAACTCCAGAGATGAGGAAGTAATCGTGGGTATAGTCATTATGGCAATAGCAAATGATACCCCTTCACCCAATTCCTGTATCTCAGTAGGATCTTTTTGATTCTTGAGAATAAGTCCCTAGTTACCTACCCTGAAAGATGCCATTGTATTTTTAAAACCAGATATGTATATATAGAGAATACATATGCTTGCCTGGATTTTTGGTAATTGTTAAACCACTTTTTAAATCTTTGGTGCTTTTTAAAGCATTTTATGAAACAGATGACTTTGAGATACCATGTTAGTAATTGTATTCATTTCCTATGACTGTTACAGTAAACAACACATTTAGTGGATTAAAATTGTCATACTTTCTGAGTTCAGAGTTCAAAATTAGCTTTACTGGGCTAAAATACAATTCCTGGTTCCTTCTAGAGGTTCTAGGGGAGAATTCTTTCCTTGCTTCCTTTAGCTTCTGGTGGCTGCCAGCATAATAATTTGAGTCCCTATGTCCGTTATCACATTGCTTTTCCTTCTGTGATGATATTTCCTTCTGACTTCCTCTTACAAGGACACTTTCGATTACATCATCGGGCCCACTTGGATAATCTCCCAATCTCAAAATCCTTAAGTACGTTTGCAAAGTCCCTTTCATCATATAAAATATCATGCAAGTTCCAGAGATTAGGACATGGACATTTTGGGGGCCTTTATTCAATCTACAAAGCAATCCTCCAATTTACTTTTTGTTTTGTTTTGTTTTAGACAGTGTCTTGCTCTGTCACCTGGGGTGCAGTGGCATGATCTTGGCTGACTGCAACCTCCACCTCCTGGGTTCAAGTGGTTCTCTAGCCTCAGCCTCCTGAGTAGCTAGCTGGTAGTACAGCCACCATGCCTGGCTAACTTTTGTATTTTTTTTTTTTTTTTTTTTTTGAGACAGAGTTTCGCTGTTGTTACCCAGACTGGAGTGCAATGGCACGATCTCGGCTCACCACAACCTCTGACTTCTGGATTCAAGCAATTCTCCTGCTTCAGCCTCCCGAATAGCTGGGACTACAGGCACGCACCAGCATGCCCAGCTAATTTTTGTATTTTTAGTAGAGACGGGGTTTCACCTTGTTGACCAGGATGGTCTCGATCCCTTGACCTCGTGATCCACCCGCCTCAGCCTCCTAAAGTGCTGGGATTATAGGCGTGAGCCACCGCGCCCAGCCTACTTTTGTATTTGTAGTAGAGATGGGGTTTCATCTTGTTGGCCAGGCTGGTCTGAAACTCCTGATCTCAAGTGATCCACCCACCTTGGTGAAATGTATATTCTTAGGCCAGGTGCGGTGGCTCTCACCTGTAATCCCAGCACTTTGGGAGACTGAGGCAGGTGGGTCATCTGAGGTCAGGGGCTCAAGACCAGCCAGGGCAATATGGCAAAACCCCCTTCTCTATTAAAAAAAAAAATACAAAAATTAGCTGGGTGTGGTGGCACGTGCCTGTAATTTCAGCTACTCGGGAGGCCAAGGCAGGAGAATTGCTTGAACCCAGGAGGTGGAGGTTGCAGTGAGCGAAGATCGTGCCACTGCACTCCAGCCTGGGTGACAATGTGAGACTGTCTCAAACAAAACAAAAAAACACAAATTTACATTGTTAATCTCATAGCTCATGCTATGGACTTAATTTTTACTCGGATAGTGGGACTTTTTATTTCCTGCCTGTTATCCACTTCTTCGTGTCTCTCAACCACACAGGCGTCATTTAAGTCTCTTATTGAAAAAGTTGAATTTGGGATCATTTTCTACAGGTTACGA